AATAAGGTGGACAGCATGAATTCATTTTCTGAACAGGGCAAACCTTTGCAGGTGCTGGAGCATGGAGCGGGGAGAGGGAGGGTCCAGCTATAGGTCATGCACATACTGCTTTCTCCGGACAGAAAGGCAGCAGGAAGGTAAATTCAAGAAACAGAATCAAACGCTCCCTCCAGGATGTCCCCCTACCCTTGGAAACCAACTTTCAATGTCCGTTTATACTTCCTGCTCCTCCTCGCCCACTCATTCCAATCTGGCTTCTACTTCCACCAAACACCTGCTGTGAAAGGTGGCAACATCTGCATGTCACTTACTGTGGCATCAATGCCACTGATCACCCCCTCACCCAGGTTTCTGGAATATAACTTCTGTCCTGGCTCTCCCTCCACCTCCCAGGCCACTCTCTTTCTCTCTCTTTTATAAGTTCATAAAAAGAAAGGAGAGCACTTCACATAAGCAGTGCAAAAATGTCTAGCCCAGATCCCTTGAGCCCTAGACCCACCAGCCTACTTGGTGTCTTAAAGGCACCCTGTCAAACACGAAATGTCCAAAACAGAATTCATGATCTTCCTCACCCTCATCCAGTGTCCTATGTCCTGAGGACATCCGGTGGGGAGGAGCCTAGAGTGGAGAGAGGTGGTTTCTCCTATACACACAGGACAGGGCTAGGCAAATAGTAGGTACTCACCAACGAAGAGTTCAACAGCTACACATCTTGCCACCTACTTCCTAAAAATAGCCGTGACCTTTTGGGTGAACACACCAAGCTCACATCTGCTAATACAGCCTCTCCCCAAGGATACACACAAAGCCTTCTCCCCAGAGATGCCACTCCCAGGCTGAATGTAGCTTTATGCTTCCTGGACTTCCCTGTGAGCAGCCTCCATGTTTCCCCTCTCTCCCTTCCTCAGACTCCTGTCACCTCACTGTTCTCCAAGCCAGTCTTCCCCAAGCCTTCTCCTGTGACGAGCAGGATGCATCTGATTTCCCTCTCAATTTCTTCCCTTCTTTTCTGTTAAGGCAGTGGGACCTACAGGAGCATATCCCCCTGGGAAAACCAGACACTAAGAAATCACAGAGCCAGGCTTGGCCCCAGCATCTCGGTTCTTTGCAGTAATGTACCCACAATATCAATATCCTCCACCCTCTAACAGGTCTCAAACACTTTCTGCAAATGTCTCCTCATGTGATTCTCCTTTCGAGTCAGGCATTATGTCATCCAGAAGTGGCACCCTGTGTGCTCAATGGTTTGTCCCAGGTTTCTCAGAACAGATGAGAACTGTCCCCTAACCCTTGATTCCTCCCAACAATACTGCCTCACATCAACATGAGCAAGGCCAGCTGTGGCTGGGTCACTGCCCTAGCTGGTCTGTTAGATCCTTCCAAATAAACCAACCACATATAGCGGACCATTATTTTCTGAGTTACAGGGGTTAGGGTCAGTAGGCATGATAAGTTATGGTTTTGGAGGTAATTCGCAAGTTACAATGAATTTCAATAACTTCTTTTAAGAATGCCAATTCCCACCAGGAAACCTTTATTTCTTCATTTACCCTAAGACCTTTGCTGTCCAAGTATCACTCGAACTCCTGATATTCCAGGAGTGATGTGATTAGAGGGCATTGTAGAGAAAAATCCAGAGAAACTACAGTCTGTTCTCTTAGCTTTGATTGTGAAGGACAAACGTGAAGGACACAGACTCTCCTCTGAGTTATCCCCCTGGACCCCCACACCAAGAACAGGGAAGATAGCAGCTAAGGCAGAGGAGGGAGGGGGTAAATCTGGGAGGATGGAGGGGGCATGCCAAAAGGTCCTGGGCCTTCTGAGAATCCAGCACTCAGCATAGATTATGTTCCACAATCACCTCCAGCCCACACTGGTTTTCTTTTCTCTATTCCACAGTGAGTTCCCCAAAAAAGAACCCATGGTCATCTATTCTAGCACAACTGTCACTTCTATCATTCCAAACTACCCATTACTTCCGCCAATCAAGTGACCAAGGTATCACTAGTCAATCCCAGCCTTCTAGATACAGCAATTCAGGATGGCCCTTTCTATTATTATAGTCCTGGCTACTGAAGGAGTCAAACGAGGCTCCTCCTTGGCCTCCCAGACTGTTCCTACTCCCATCTTTGTCTGGATTCATTCCCATCTCACCCTGCCCATTTCTTTCTGCCTAGCAGAACCCATCCTTCGAGATTCAATATTTTAATCACAGAGAAATCACTTCCCTGGCCTGCTTCTTTCATTCAACTAACATTTCCTGAGACTACATTAGGCAAAGTCCATCCCGGGTGCTGTGAGAGACCAAGAGATGAGTCAGAAGCAGCCCCACCCTCCAGAAACAGAGGAAAGGGCAGAGATAAAACATGTGGCCAAATAACTACTACACAAGGCAAGCATTAAGAACGGGCCAGGAGTAAAAATAGTTAGGGATGCTGAAGACAGTGTGGAACGAGGCAGGAGAAGGGAATAGTATAGGGAAGGACAGCAAGAGAACACATAGAGAGGCATGACATTAGTGGGACACAGAAATGGTTTATTACCTTTTGATGATGGCATGCATAGTATTCTCAGCTGGACTGGTCTGAGAAGTATTTCATGCTGGGCAAATTCTTTTTACAAGCAAAATGATATATAGTGATAGAATGTTTTAAAAAATGAGAATAATAATAATAATCTGAAAAAAATTATGAAAAGCTATTTGATGATGATGTGGATAGTAATGTCTTTGTCTTGACTGATATGCATGGTATTCCTGCTTTTAAATAAATGTAATACACTGTAAATATATATGTGATTCAATGTAATTTAAACAAGATTATGATAATTAAAAAGAAAAAAAAAAGAACAGGCCTGAGTTAAAGGGGAACTGCATGAGCTGCATGAGCTCAAGGCATGTCTCACTCCTACCTGCTGAGAAGCAGGCACCTGGCCGCCTCCCTGGAGGCTGGTGTGAGAATAGTAGAAAATGGGAGATGGAAGGCATTCCAGAGGGACAGAGATGGTTCAGGATAAGAGCAGTCAAGTCGGCTGCACCTTCAGCTGAGCAAAGGGAATAATAGCATTGCTCTTACTGTGTTATTCATGTGATGCTTACACCTTAGGAGCCAGGCCCTGCTTCCCGTGTTCCAGGCCTAATCTGGAAGACATCCACCTGGGACATAGGTATGGTGCACCAGTCACCATCTGTTCTGACCTGAGCACTATAGGGTTGTTAAATATATTTAACATTTATCATGTTAATACAGACATAATACATATTTAATATATATGAAATATATAGGTGGCATGGTGGTTATGGTGCTGGATCCCCACACGGTAACCACAATTCAAGCCAAGGGCCTGGCAGCTTGAAAATCACACTGGGCACGTGTGCATGTGTGCTCAAAATCCCAGGAGGAGAATAGAGGTGAAGGGACTGTGGTGTGGCCATCCCCCCAGGGTGTGAATTCTCACTTTCTGTCTCTCTCAGCTAGCATATGCGCCATGTAGCAAAAACTTAATATATATACACACACACATATATGTATATACGTATATATATATACACACACATACATACATACACGGCTATATACATTCTTTTCACTCATTGAATCCTCGCAATAAGCCTGTCAACATTATTATTTTATCCCCACTTTACAGATGAGGAAACCAAAGTACAGAAACTCGTTAGATCAGGGAAGTATACAGGCGCCCACCATAGTGAGCTTCCATGACAGGGAGACAAACTGCTCTGGCACCTCACCTGGCCTCTCCTGTCACCAAACACCTTGTAACACAGTGCCTGGAGGGAAGGGGCCCTGTTAAGCTTCCTGGAATCCCCAACAATTGACTGCAGCAAGGAAGGAATAAAAGAACATAATGAGTGTCAGTTAGGGGTGAGCAAGATAGCAGCCCTGCCCTGCAAGCCTTTAATCCCCGTTTAGGGCAGAGCAGGGCAGGGTTCACCTTCCCGCTCCTCTCCTCTCCAGGCCCAGGACAGCAAGGAGCGGCAAAGCGAAGGCCTGCAGTGGGAAGAGAGGTTACCTAGGGTCTGTCTGAGAACACCAGTCTCCATAGAAAGGTCACTGATTAGAGGGCCAGGGACACAAATGCCCAGGCAGACAGAAGACTCCCAGCCTGCGCTAGCCCTGGCTACATTAACTCTTCGCCCCCAAAGTCTTTACCTCTCTTTTTGAGGCCAACAGACGGTTCTCTACTCTTTTAGACTGGAGAGAACTGGCCTGAGCCGGAAAGCCGGGATAAAGTTGAAGAAGGCGGAAGGCCCACCGGGCGCCTGGGACGGCCCGCATTCTCTCAATTGCTTGGAGGAGTTCCTTAGAAATACACAAACTGCAAGGCGGCAGGAATCTGTGTTCTCCCACTTGGGAGGAAACTTCCTGAAGGCAGCCTTGTGGACTTGCTCTCTGGGCACAAGCCTTGCCCCAAAGGGCGCACACACGGAGAATTCTGGGTCACAGAGGCCGGGACCACGGGCCACCATCCTTGAGCCCGCTAGTCTCCTGGTCGCAGGTTCGCAGGCTCCAAGCCCTACCCTGACCGAACCCAACCCTTGACCCTGCCGCGCCGCACCCTGGCGGTCGGTCGGTGCACCCCTGACATACAGGAAGGGCAGTCCCCAACGCCGCTGCTGACCGCGCTGGGCGACCGGCCCGACATCCTCCTCCACCGTCCCTGCAGCCCCGAGACCAGGAAGCCACAGGGCCGGGACGGGCCGGGAGGGGACGCGGGGAGTCCCGAACCTCACTCGTTGGGGCCGCGGAGCGCCGCCGCCGGGTCCCAGCCGAGAACCCTTACCCACCTG